GAGCCCGGAGCCGCGCGGCGGAGGGAGCGATGTGGCCGAAGTCGGCAGCACGGTGCCCGCCGAATGCGCCCCTGTCAGTGCCTTTGAGAAATGAAAAGGCCGGGATTTTCAGAGGAGTCTGGTCCCGGTGGGGTCCAAGCATCCGAGTTCCTCGGTCTCCTTGGCGAGCCCTGGCCCGCGCTGCAGAGTTAAAGAACGAGGGTTAGGGCCGGGACACTCGTCCCATGAAATCCTAGACCTGCGGAGGTCCTTCTCCGCAGAGGAGCATCCTGTCCCGTTTGGCTTGGTTCTTATTTAAAAAAAAAAAGAATAAAACCACCACGAAAAACTTGACTGCAAAATGCAGTGCTGGTGGTTTGGGGTTTGTTTTTGGGTTTTTGTTTTGTTTTTTTTTTTTTCCTTCCTTGCTGGTTTTGCGACCTCGTGTCCGGAAAGCCTCTCGTATGGATTCCCCTCTCGCCCTCCCGTTGCACCAGCTGTTGAGATGCACTATGCCTGATTGCAGATTGTGTTCTAACGTTTATTTCGTTGTTGATTTTTGTTCTTTTGGTATACAGTTGTTGCCTTTATTTGTAAAATCCTGTTATAAATATATATATTATATAAATATATTAAAGGTAAAGCGTTTCAGATGTCTATTATTTGTATAACTACTTGAGCATAAAGAAGTGAGAAATATGAATGTATTCTTGTTTCTGGATTGTCTTTTTTTTTTTTTGAAGAGAAGAATTTTTTGTTTTTCTCTAGGGAGAGGTACAGTGTTTATATTTTGGAGCCTTCTTCAAGGTGGGATATTGTACATATTTTTATCTTGAGTAAATGTTAAGTAGTTGTTTAAAAATACTTAATAAAATAATTCTTTTCCTGTGGAAGATAAGGGTTTGCCTCGTGTGCTTGTCAATATTTGAGCAGGGTCGTTTGGTAGGGCCCGATGCGGCAGCCGAGGGCGAGCGGGAGGGAGCGGGGCTCTCCTCGCTCCCCGGGCAGCTCCCGCGCCCTCCGTGCCCCCTCCACCCGTGTCCCCAGGGGGATTTATTGAACTCCCTTGGCACCTGCGGGGCTGCTTCTGCTCCCGGAGCCACGTGAGGTGCCAGCAGAGCCTGGCTGGCTCTTCTGCTTGCTCCTCATTGCCCTGAGTGCTCCCTGGGCCTGGCTTTGTGCCTCGTCTGCCCCAAGCTCAGCAGGGAGGAGGAGGAGGAGGAGGAGGCAGCAGCCCCTCGCCGTGGGGGATCCGTCTGGAGGCAAAATGGGCTTTTTAAGAACAGGGCCTTCGCTTTGCCAGCATGCTGCAGCCTCGGGAAGCCGCTGCCTCCCCTCGAGGCCGAGGGGCATGAGGGCGTGCGACGGGGCACAGGAGGTGTGCGAGGGGGCAGAAGGGGCGTGTAACGGGGCACGAGGTCGTGTAACGGGGCATGAGGGTGTGCAACAGGGCACAAGGGGTGTGCAACAGGGCACGAGGGCATGTGACGGGGCACAAGGGGTGTGCGAGGGGGCACAGGAGGTGTGTGAGGGGGCACAAGGGGGTGGGAGGGGGCAGAAGGGGTGTGCAACAGGGCACAAGGGCATGGGACAGGGCATGAGGGCGTGTGATGGGGGGCATGAAGGTGTGCAAGGGGGCACAAGGGCATGTGACAGGGCACGAGGGCGTGTGATGGGGCACGAGGGCGTGTAACCCAGAAGAGACCCCAGACCTCTCCCCAACGGCCCCAGATGGGCGAAGCGGAGGGTCTGGGACGGGCGGGAGGAGTTGCTTTCCCGGCAGCGCTGCCTACACGTGCGCGGGGCACGGGCGCTTCGGGGGGAGATTTCAGCTTTTCACCGTGCAGACGAGTGACAGCACGTGGTGAGGGGTCAGACGCCCGAGAGGGACAGCGCTGCTGGGCCCCGGGCCACAGCATCGCCGGGACCGCGCTGGAGGAGACGCAGGGGCCCGGGGGCTGCTCTGCGACCGCGGTCAGCCTCAGCTGAGAGGAACGTTGGCTGAAGTGATGCCAGACCAAAACACAGGGCTGCCGTGTTAATTATCCGGGGCCTCCATACCGCCTGATGTTTATGTTGTGTTTGTTTTAATTAGGGCTCAATATTGATCTCGCCGTAAGTCACCCCGCTTTGGAGACGGCATTTGGTGCTCAGCGCAGCAGCGTTTGCAGCC